TCTCTCGTTCCCTGATTAGAAATATAAATTTCCTTCCGGAACTACTAGATCTCGAAATTTTCAAAAAGTTCAAAAATGCACTTTTTCACTCCAACCCCTGCCATTCGGCCATTTTGTATCCGATCGGAATAAAACCTTTACCATTCGAACGGGAAGGAAATTTCCTAAAAAAATGTATAGAAGAAAAAGTAAGAAAATTAACGTGAACAAATAATTGAATAAAATAACCAATAAATAAATAAATAAACAAATAAAAGAAACAATGAAACATAAAAAACTTAAACAAATTGTTTTAATTATTATTTTTAAAAAACTTGTAGTATGCGCCATTGTCAGTGCGGCGGATCGTACGGTCCTGAGCGGTTGCCCTGCTACACGTCTCTCCACAGCTCGGGCAGCCAACTACCCCACCACGCTCGCCTAGCGATTGTCCCCCGAGTATCTCGAGCGAAACTCGCAAAATTTAGGCGTTTTTTCAAATTAAAATGTAACCCATTAGCGTACTCGTATTTGGATGTTTAAAAGCGCATTTTAATCGTTGAAAACTCAGCTACAACGTGGATGAAAATGAAACTTCTATTTCATCGCTTTCCTTATGAAAAATAGCGGGGAAGCTTCGGGCGCGCTTGCGAAATCTCGAGATCTCCGTCACGGGATCATCTCCGAGAACAATAATTTTGTGAGAATCTGCAGTATCATTAAAAATGATATCACACAGAAACTGGCCCAGATTGGCCGGCGCGTTCGGAAGTTATGGCCATTTAAGTGTTTTCACTTCAAGGGGGTGTAATATATTTGTGAGAATCTGCAGCATCGTTAAAGATGATATCTCGCAAAAACTGAACCATTAGAATTAAGTGTTAGAGTTAAGTGTTACTGAATTAAGTGTTTTCACTTCAAGGGGGTGTAACTCCCCCTAGAGTGATCCTACAGGGGTTCAATGGGGGTGTTTTTTTATTGCCGAAGGATGCTCTCTCTCGTTCCCTGATTAGAAATATAAATTTCCTTCCGGAACTACTAGATCTCGAAATTTTCAAAAAGTTCAAAAATGCACTTTTTCACTCCAACCCCTGCCATTCGGCCATTTTGTATCCGATCGAGATAAAACCTTTACCATTCGAACGGGAAGGAAATTACCTAAAAAATATATCTTTCGTTTTTTTAAATCGGTCATAGTTTCGTAGAGATACACAAACGTCATAGTTTCGTAGAGATACGCAAAAATTCAAGTGTCCCACTTCAATTGCGCACTACTGTATATTTTATAAAGCTGTAACGCGTGATACATTTTCGATTATTACCGTATTGTTGACACGAATCGCAACCTATTTTAAGTAGTAAAAGCATGTCCTGATTGATTGGCAAGGCCTAGTCCCTAATTCGGCCCACTGCCCAAGCTGTGTGACTTTATGAATGTTATGCTGAAGACATTTCCCGAACAATGATGTAATCATGGTTCAGATCGCATTTGAAGAATCTCTTTATCTCGGCGAAGTCCAAATCCCTGCAGGTGTGCAGTGGCGTCGTATAACACCCGTTTTCAACGATGACCGTGATGCGGAGATGAACATCGTACAGAGGAAAATATATGGGGAGATGGATGTGTAGGAGACAAAAAAAGAAAAATTGGTTTTAAATGAAAATATATTATAAACATATTGCGAGATACATCAATCATACTGTTTTATTAAGAAAATAATCGTTATGCATGGCTGTTCTGGTCCTCCATGGTGCTCCGCACGAAGGAGAAGTACTCGTGGTTTTACAGCGAGAGCAGCTCCACTAATAATTGGTAAAGCACCGGCGACCACAGGCGTTTCTTCTCCAGAGCCACTTGAAGATCGCCCAATATGTTGTCCCTGGAGGCGTCATCTCCGCGACGGTCGAGTTCCGCAATCAGCGTATCTTTACAGTTGTTAGCACTGTCGGTAATCTCGCGTAGCCTGGTTATTTGAACGGTCACGCAGCGCAAGACCCTCTGGAGATGGAGGTAGGACACCCTCTTCATCAAAACCGTTGGTGTGTACGTTCTAGCTCTTTTAACACCCGAGCCATCGTTGTCCATAGACACCGGCATTGCCGGTTTGAAAATAATAGCCCGCTCACCGTATGAGTACGTGAAGGCTAGCTCATGAGTGGCCATGAGAATAGGCGTGTTAAAAGCCTCGGGTACCTCCTTGATGTTATCCTCTGCGGTGAAGAATTTGTCGATGATGGGGAAGTGGTCGGTGATGATGGCCCATTCGGTAGGGTCAAACTCTACTCCGGAATAATCTTGATTAACGATGCTTGATTAACGTATTACTGGTGATAAGCTTCCCGAACGATTTAAAGAGAAGCCGGTGACTACTTGTTTCGAAAACGATCGGTTTAGTCCGTACACAGTGGACAGCAGTACTTGCTTCTTGTACATGATTATAGTAAATGCTATTAAGCGATCGGTGCGATGGTCTAACCAGTACTGTCTCATACGACATCTAAAAAACAGATCATCGAAATATCATCGAACATAACCCCCAGCACCATAGTCACACCCCGTTTTCATAGGATACAGCGAACAAAGAGACTATGACCATAGTAGAGTATACTGCTGATACCGCAGGATGTATGAAAGATGACGAGATGCTGATATCCTATAGCGAGTGATTCACGTGAATCACGGTACTGCTGGGTACATCTACATCAGCGTTAAGTTGATCCTGTAAAAAAGAAAATACGCGGTTGGGGCACGCCCGAGCATCCAGCGATGTACAGTCTAAGAAAAGCAGTAGAATCATTACGACGATACACTGAAAAATTTACCGACATACATCGAAGAAAAAGAAATGGCTCTCTACGACGACAACGATTTTTTGAGGCATAGACGTATGCAGTGGTCGAAGACACGAGCCCTCTATCGGTACGCCAACCCTGAGCATAATCCAAAGAAAGAGGCCGTACGTGAGTGGTTGAGATTGGGCCATTTAACGGGTGTACCGCTAGTCTCAATATATATGGCGAAACCGGGAGCGCTGGACGCTGATGTGTTATACAATGATAACCTTGACATGATCTGCTGTAAGGGGTGGCCGTCCGGTGTAAGACCCGTGATACTACCCGAACTGTCTATAGCAACGATACTGACTGAAGGACACCGTGATTTCACACGTTGTAGCGTAACGCTGGGTTTTATCTGCGATCAGCGTTCTAACGATAGCCTTTACGCACAGCGCATATGTACCCATGAGTGGTTGGCGAAAGAGGAATGGCGTATGTCCGACGATAATAGTCCCAAATGCCGCATCACCTATCGACGCCCTATGGACAAATCAGAGCTAGCGATATTGAGGAAAAGGTGGAGCAGGCCTACACCGGAAGAACTACCGTACCGTGCACCTATGCGTCTGGAGTCGCAGGCCTGGCTAGCGGCATTCAATCATCTCGAGAGGTTACGCGAAAGCTGCATCACACTGTGGTGCCTGAGAGCCATGCGAGCGTACGAGACAGCACTACGCACTCTGGAGAAACGATTTAGTTTGACAGAGTTTATTGGGTGTGTTACCCTGACGACGCGGGATGGTCCACCGCACCTAAAATATAAGGAATGCCGAACAAGCGTGGTCAGCATGCCTGGCGGCCTTTACGCGTAGCTAGAGGCACTCGACGATACGTGGGAAATCTATACACCCCACGACGCTTACAACGATGAGGAGGGGGAGTACGCCGAAGGATCGAACAATTTGGCGTACTACGCAATGGACAAACGAACAGCATCCCGACGCAACATCAGGCATATACGGTGTACGGCAATTTTTCGCGACGAGAACTGCGAAACACTGCTGCGGAATGACCGGGGCGAAAAAGATATCAGCGTACAGCTGATCGGCGGCGATATCGACGAGTTCGATGTTGTTAAAGACTGGTGTGATCTACTGGCACCAGCATCCCGACGCAACATCAGGCATATACGGTGTACGGCAATTTTTCGCGACGAGAACTGCGAAACACTGCTACGGGATGACCGTGGCGGAAAAGATATCAGCGTACAGTTTATCGGTGGTGATATCGACGAGTTCGATGTTGTAAAAGACTGGTGTGATCTGCTGTCACCAGTTGATTGTAATTGATAAATATAAACAAAGTAAAAAAAAATACCTATGTACACAGAGTAATATGATTCGTATCTCTAACCCTACACTACGATGGCGAGATGCGATGCAACCTCGAACGGTGTACGTCAGCAGATCGCTGCAGCTCCCAACGCAACACCTCTATACCGTTTTTTCCGTATTATGGATACGCCGTATTTCGTGATCGGCGAACGAGCGACCAATAATACATAATTTTACGATTAAAACGTTTCTATCCGATTTTCCACGAATAACGATCCTATAAGAAAATCGTGACATTTTTTGCTGATTCAGCTGTATCGTATAGTATTGTTTTAAAATTAATATCACCGCGGCTGTAAGACGTCCGCGGACTAGCCGTAGTCTGTTTTAGTTTGTATCACGACGTCTTGGCGGTTAGTCTAATCACTTACAGCAATCACCAGCTCTAAGCAAAGAAAAAAAAAATGTCATAGTAGTTACATACCACTTCTGGCCGTCACAACAAATCCCCACCACTGTCCCCTGTGAGTCATGGAGCGCGCAGCGCTCTGACCCCCCGTACCGCACTATGGCGTCACCCCCTCGCCAATGTGGTCGGCTCTCCCCACCGCCAACCTATGTTGTTGCTCCCCCACCATGCGGACCTGGTCCTAAGGCCCGAAACTCAGTAGCAGCGGCGTTACATGCCCCCAGGGGCTATCACGGTCGGTAACGCTAACGGTAAAACATACTTTTTCTAAAAAAAGATTACGTCTAATTTACATTTTATGAAAAAGGAGGAGGAGAAGGAGGAGGAGGAGGAGGAGGAGGAGGAGAAGAAGAAGAAGAAGAAGAAGAATCGCTTCACAATACGTGGGGTATGGGTTAAACAGCATCGGAAACAAAAGGAAAAAAAACAATGCGATCTTCTTCATAATTTTTTTTACAGATGAATTCATGTCAATAGCATCGGCCGGTAGCGATCGCAGTGTCTATGGCAATGGTGATGATGATGACCGCTCCACCATGTCCAGCGCTTCTAACGAGCACTATCAATGTAATAATTATAAATTTACAGACATCGTTGAAAACTCATCTGTGTGAAAATAAAAAGTACAAAAAGTTGTAGACCCGTTAGAGGCTGCTGGCTACGATGACCACATTCCACCGGGTAACGCACGGCCGCCGCAGGAGCACGACGACGCGGAAGAACCGGTGCTATGGGTTCTTAGGAACGGCGTGTACGAGGTAGCGGATGCCGACGAAGCGGCCGATGCATTAGCGGGGCGCGATGGGGCCCCGAGCGCTGCGGCTGTCCTCGAGGAAGGTAACGTAGAACTTTGTCGAACTTTGTCGAAATTGCTAACTTTAAAAATGTAGGGGATGATGATGAAAACCTGTTAGACGCTGTATTCTCATACATCGGGTCGATGTTTAATCCTCGAGAGGAATGAGAAGTCAGTATGAGCCGAATACTCCTTCTTTTTTTGTTTAATAACAAAAACAATAATAAAAAACTCTTTTTCCAAACGCTAGATGCGGTGGATGCGGACACGCAGTATCAGACTGGCGGGGGACGTCTTCTTCGGTCGCAGAGTTGTGTCGACGAAGACACCGACAACGAGGGAGTGTGTTCCAACAAATGCGGTAGATGCTTCGGAAAACCACCCTGCGATTCGGCTCTCCCCACATTGTATTGTCGCGAGTGCCATAGGTACTTTTTTGGTCAAAGTTGTTTCGATAATCACATAAACACGCTGGTTACTAAACAGAAGGGAAAAGAAAAGAATGTATGCCAGGAATGTATGCCTCTTCAAGGAACGTCTCGTAAGCACTCTTGCGATAAGGTGTGTTGCAGCGTCTTTAGGAGTGTTAATGACGTTGGATATCGGTGTTACGTCAGACCGGTAAAAAAGACTACCGTTGAAAAAAATATTCTGTACATCTTCTACGATTTTGAAACACAGCAGATACAGAAACTGTCTGGTGACGACGCGGCGCGTATCCACACCCCAAATCTGTGCGTCGTTCAGCAGGTGTGTACAGCGTGCATAAGTGATACAGATCTCGCGAGGGTATGTCCGTCTTGCGGTGTA